GCGTGCATGCCAGCCAGCCAGCCAGACTTCTCCTGTCTCTCCGTCGAGTACGATCGCATCTCTCCGAATTTCTCGCTGCTCGCTCCAATGCGGGTGGAGACGATCGCCAGGAGCTTCCATCTCGGGCGAGAATCGTGCGCTCAAGATCGGAGTCGACGTAAAACTTTGACGACGAGTTTCTCAAGTAAAATGTGATTCTCCGAACCTGCAAGTGGCCATGTCTCTTGGGCCTTGGGTGGCCCGGCAGGCAATTATCTAGTTTGGCTAAGGCAATAATGAAATCTAGGCAATGTAGGCAGAATGCACAATCGAACCTGATTGTGCGCCCCAGCCCTCACTGAATAGCCTCGAGCTCGGTTCGAATCGCATATCTCTGACCTCGTCTATTGTCGTACGTGGGTTTAGCGGGCGACGTCGACGCCTCTCTCTAATTGAGAGCGACATCTCAACTCGGATGCCGCCGCTTGGAGAAGTCCTCGAGGCGCTGGATGGATGGTCCCGTTCATTGCGGTAATCGGTTTAAATACCCCGTTGGCGGAGCTTGCTCGGGCGACTTTTAAAACGGAGTCACCTTTAAAGGATCACACACGGAATGAAGACCGTACCGAATACCGTTACGCTTGAGTTTGGTGCAGAGTTCCAGGTTCTTTGAATAGAAATGATGATTACGATAGATGATCATAACGAGAGAACATCAGCTCCGATGCTTTTCGGATATTCGAAGAATTCTCCCAGGGAATCGACTCGATTCGGCTTGTCACCCAAAGATAAGAACCGAGGATACACCCGACGATAGAACGTGGCCCAGAATCGGACGTGCGACGGTTCGTCGCCAACTCAAGACAGAAGCCATGCTGGAGAGCACCACGAGGATGGAACGCAAACACATGCAAGAACTGCTACAGAGACGGCAAAGCAACAGAGAGTCAACTCCATGAATCAGGTCACTCCTAAGCTCGGGCTTAGATGTGACCGCCTGGTCAACCTTTCACCGGGGTGTCGAGTGAGACTATTTGTTATTGGGAAGAGCTTCGCATTCTTTTTGCTCCTCTTTCCGCCTTGCAGAGAATAGCCTTCCACCCTGGAATAGACATCTCGTTTCCTCGACTTCAATACCGAGGAACTCGGTCATGGGCGACATCGACATGATCAAGTTCACCGACGCGACGACAGGGGTGAAATTTCTCTGTCCAACCGCGCGGACAAACAACCCAGACTCGTCATGTCACCGATACCGAGCACTCAAGAACACATTATCAATCGAGAGGATTCCGCGTGTTGACGTGTGCGGGACCATCACGATATTTCTTTCATGGAGCCTAGCTCGACCATAGGAGTTTCGTCAACATCCTCGCTAGGGTCTGACGAGTAAAGTGTAGTGGAGGGTTCAAACTTGATGGAAGAAATTCCACATGGCTGAAACTTGAGCGATTCAGCCGGGCAACGGAAGTGCGTGACTCGCGTGGGAGATGCTGAAACTTTCCCTTGATAACAGCTTGATTTCCCACAGATGCCCATCTGCATGCGAGCTCGCTCTTCTCTTTCTTGTTTTCCGCTGTTTGAGGTCAGGCGCGTGAGTGGACAGCGCCGTAGGCCTTCGTCCCAAGTCTCCCTTCCCCAGGATTGGGAAGGTTCCGATCTTCCGGAAGGATCACCCCCGAAGAGATTCAAGGCGCTCTGGTCATTCTAAGTGGATTTTTGAGCATGAATCTGCCGTCTTTCTCTGTGTCTGTGTCATAAATTGTCGATAAATTATACATTCTTCGGCTCAGCGCATCGGAAACCTGGCGCGACCCTCGCATGGCCCGGTCCCCTAGTTTCTATCAGTCGAGGGGTGCATGAATGACAATCGCGCAGGTCATTGTCCTCCCCCGACGTCGGCCCAGCCATCTCTTCGTGAACTCATCCGCTGAGCTCGAGGGGGATGGGGGGGAGGTATAATCGCCGTCGTCAAGGGTATCGCTCCGACTCCGGCGTTCCCTAATAATTGCCGAGCGAGAGAGGAAAATAAAGTCAATCATAGTTTTTATTATTCCTCGTAACATTTAACGATAAACGATTCCCGGTTGAGAGAAACCGCTGAATTTTTATCGGCGAGCGAAGAAGTGAACAAAGGGACAAAGAGAACTCGATTTATGCTTCGGGACAGGAGCTGAAAAACGAGGGCGCAGAGGAACGTTGAGGTAGAACCAAACATGGGAGAGGATGCCATGGAAGGAAGAGCGATATCCTATTCGTCCACGAGACTTCCGAACATTCGAAAGGGGGAACAAGGGAGCCGGAAAAAGATTCGTGTATCCTCTCGTCGGAAGGATGTTTGTAGGGACCCCAGCGATCGAACAAGAGAAGACCCTGATATTTCGACGTCGATTTTCCGATATTCGCTTCCGCATCACTCGAAAACTACCATTTCTTCCGTCGCTGGCGTAAGACTTGCTTCTGCTTCCGAGAGACGGCTATCGACGAGTGTTCTGGCGCGAAAACCTTCAAGATGGGACGACGGAAAGCTCATCGGGATTGCGGTCGCTCGGAGCGAGATATAAAACCTCACATCCTTTTCGTCGATCTATATCGAAGTTACTCCTTTGAAGTACGACTCTTGTAATTTGGGCGGAAAGCTCAAAGGAGCTCACGTTCAGAGTTGGCTTCGGATTCCCCGATGTCTTCGTGCGCCACAATAGAGCTATATCAATCGCAGCCAAATTATTATTGGTCCTGCGTTGGTGGAGCGGATGGCGGAATTTTTCCGCTATCGTAGATCACCTCGTCTCGACTCGGAGACTCCCCTCCCTTGCCGAGTCGTTGAGCTTTACAGTACCGGCTCCTGTTCATCACCTCCGAAGCATGATCCGGACGAGCTTCCGCGAAAGTTGACGAGCGATAGAGAAGGAAGGCGAGCGGGATTCGACGGATCTCCGCAACTGAAAAATCCGTCTCATCAGTAGATCTCTGGGGAAAAGTTGACGTCCCTCGACCAGATCGAGCAAGGTATCCCGAGCCAATCGGACTTCGGAAGTATGCGGTAAGAGCGTCCCGAGACGAAATTATCCTCTCGGCTATCTTTTGAATATTTGTTGACACCTGAGTTCATTGCCAATCGACTCGTTCAGGGCTCTACTCGTCGAAATCGAAAGCTTCGCAGGGCTCGCAGCAGAACATATTCTCCGAAATGAGTCCAAGAGCTACGAAATCGCTCCCGTTCGTACTAATCCGAATTGATCGATAGAAGTCATCTTAAGGATCAGTCTCTCTTTCTGATCTCTCAAGAAGCAACTTGTTGCTAATCGGAATCTCAACGCATGCTCGTACATAGAGCGGTCGAGAAAATCTTGGCAATCCCCCACTCACTATGACCCCGCCTTCACCTACAGTAGAGCCTGCACGCCTCAGCGGCGATAGGAAAACCGTGAAAGGGCAGCGGGCACGGCATGCCCGCATTTTAGGTCGTTCCAAGTCTCCGGCGGAAGGTCTTTGCTTGGAATTGCCAAAGTCAGCTCCGAGCTTTCGAAACGCCGCCGTTTCGCTTTTTTCTCGAGCTTCACCGCGCTCGAGCCGGGGTGAATCGGAGAGAGTTCGACAACGTCAGGAAGTCTCATTGACATCTGCTTCAGATGTAAAGACCTTGAGACTGTCACGCAATCCCTTGAAGCAATCGACAGCAGCTCAATACGGAGCAATAAAATTCAGGCAGGCAGAGCACTACTCCCCAACTAAGAACAGGGACTGATTTGTTTGTCATGCCGGCTGCTCGGGCTCATGAAATCCGGAGCGAAGGAGGGGCGACATAGAGCGAATGAACCCGAGAAAATTATCCACTTTGAGGAATCACACCGAATAGAGATCGAGAAAGATCTTGCATCCGATTCCCGGGGATATTGTTCAAAGGTTCCCCAATGAGCCATGGCTAGGGCTGTAAATTATTCGCGGCGATCGCGGGATTTGCGGAAATTTCCGGCTACTCCCCATAGAGTTTCAATGAAGGCCGCGAATTTCCGCGAATTTGGTGGAAATTTTCCGCGAAAAATTTATATCCCTAGCCATGGCTAACTCGGGAGGGGAAGCCGAAAGACCATCGACCAGGTAGGCAGACCGCTCCCAGCTCGAGCATCCACCTGACCGTTCATTGGAGCAGCGCATTCCGTGAGTCTCATGTACCTGATGGGAATGTAGTTCAGGTGGATTAGTCCTCTTTCCCATCGACTAGGCCTGGGAACACAATCCTTATCCTGGACTCACCTGGGGACAATGGAGGAATGTGAGAGAGGTCACATAGACAGAGGCCCTCGGCCGCACTCGAAGGCTGGGCCGGGTGCGCTGTTGGCGAGAACTCCAGGATTGGCGATGAAGTCAGCTGGCGATCATGAGCGATCGATCCGCACTATTCTGTCGGTGAAAAGGATTCTTGCCGCGGTCGCGGAAGTTGGAGCTAATGGCAATGAACGAGCAGCCGGATTCGTGCGAGACGGGTGTCGCGCCGGTAACTTCATCGGACTGACAGCAGAGAAGACCCGTGAACTGATTCGAGCCGGAACTCTCGCAACCTGCGCCTGAATACAGCTCGCGATGGTGGGGATTAGGTCTGGTTCGCACACAAACGGATGATCGATTATGATGGATTACTTCATTTATTAGATTCTCGCATTCCGCATAAAATGGGTCTCCAAGCTCGTGATCCTCATACTCGATTGGTTCAAGCCTTGATAGGCTTTCTGTTAGGTTTCGTCAACGGGGAACAGGATCCCCTCTCGACGAATTCTCCAATGAAAAGTAGTTATAATTTCCCGGAAAGAAAAAACGAGTGTTTCTGCATGCATTCCACTCATACCAGCCTGATTGGAAAACCCGGATTGAGGGCCACGACTGCGCCGGTTCCAGCTTGATCCGGGAAGAGAGGAAATATGACTCTACCCCGAAGCCGTGTTTTCCCTAGAATTCCACATTGATGCGTCGATCTACCGATTCCGAGTCGACCCTATATCCGACGGTCGATCCCGATCGGCTTAGATTACGGTTTGGAAAAAGAAGAAGAGAAGACCGATAGCGATGTATTTCCCATAGCCGCTCAGAGGTTTCGAGGCTCCAGAGATCTGTCTGAGTTTCAAAATCATGCCCTTTTGAGATCCGTCCCTCGATGCGTCATCCGCGAGGATCAACAGGTCACCTGCGAGGATGCGAAGACGCGACCATTAGCGAAAACATTATTCTAAGCGAATCCGACAGGTGATCGGCAATGATCACTGGATGATCTGAGTTCGGCTCCCAAGATTCGCCTCGATTATTCCATGGGTTTACAGTTTGCAAATCATGGGAACTACCACACTCACCGTAGTGATTCTCGGCAAAGGCCACGATGTGCAGTTTAGCAGGCGTCGAGGAGGAACACCAATCGGACGCATTGAGATCATTCGCCTTCCAGACTCCGGATGGAGCCTCTGCGAGCGTGAAGATTTTACCCTGCAATTTCGAAGTTGATGACTAGGAGAACATTAAGCAGGAGGGATCCGGGTTCCATTCTTCCCCGAAAGATAAGATGAGGCTGCGATTGATCGGCACGGATGAGAGTGGGACATACGCTGACGTAATCTCCGAACAGAAATGTGTCGTTGAGGGACGGCAAGCCGTTGCCTTTATAAACTCGTCCCCCTACGACGGCTGCTCCGGTTTCCAGGGAATACTTGTAGATAGCTTGTTCGTCATCCGCCTGAGCTTCTGTAATACATTAAGAGAACCGCGAATTTATTTCATCAACATACGTAGAACAGGCACCTAATCAGATCAAGGGAGAATGAGCTCCCAGAATGTAGGTATGGCTGAGAACCCCCCGGAAATAATTTGATCCTTCGAAGGCTCGATTATCCATTTAATGCGAAATGCGCTCCTGGGAAAGATCAGCGGCGGCGAGCCATCGAGTGTTATATGAAGGCGCTCTTTACCTGCGATGGGGAACCCGTAACGTTTCCCCTGGCGAACCAGGAAAATTTCTTCTTCGGGATGGGGATCGATGGCTGTATCGCCACAAAAAAACTGCGTCCTGCCTGTGGGAAACAACTTGATCCATTATCGTATAATGACCGCCATGAGCCCAGTTGATTGCTGCCATCGGCGGTCCGTGCAGGGACCACTGAGGGATATTGCCATGATTCCTATACAGCGATGACCGTACCTCGTGAGACTTCCCTCGTGTCGAGAGCACATCGCCATGGGTTCCTGAAGCCGCTCGCGAAGATACTCCGTTCGCGCACCGATGCGAGTTCATCGGCTTCTGATGAGGAGGGGAGTTTTATCTTCATCTTGAGGATTTTCCCGTTCGACGAATCCATGTCAAACCTAAACGAGCCTCAAATTTAGGAAATCCGTGTTCTCGTGTCTCCACCACTCAAGATCTGACGAATTGGACAGTGACCATGCAGTATGAATCAAAAATCCAATCCATCTTTTCCTTCCGCCTGCGTGAAATGGCTTGAGGACTAGTCACTGTAGCGAGATATATCGGACCTTTTCGATTGCTGATACTTCATTGCACCGTCTCCGGTCGTTAGGTATAGGAAGCCTTTGTCCAATTGAGCCAGAAGCTGACCACCGTTGTAGCGATTACTCGGTTGACTGACTCGGGTCAATTCGTATTCCTTCTCCACATCCAACTTTCCCTGTTCGGAGGGGGGCTGCCTTAGAACTTCGAGGGACTCCTCAGACAGGAGGGTCGAAGGCCAATCAGCTCGGCCTTAATTGGTTCCTCTAGTGACTCGCAAGTTGCTCCCTCGTGATTATGCGTGATCTCGAGTCGAATCGGAGAGAGATATCTAAGATCACGCAGTCATGTCTCGCTCGGACTCACATTTTCATCGAAAGGAATCGCTGAGATGACCGTATCGTGATCAGCTTCTGGGTTAGAGCTCGTTCTGCTGGAAGTCAGTAGCAGGGTGCGTCTGGGTTTTTCAACGTCGTCGCTGGGGAAAAATGAAACCGTAGAATTACTAGCACTAGTGTGTTTCGGTGCATCACCCAGGAGTAAGTCCACCTGGACTTGCGGACGGCAAACTCTCGGGGACTCTACCGACCCATCGACACCTGAGTCCCATTCGCGTGGTATGGGCCGCACGAGATTGATAGCTACATATGGTGGGTCTTAACCTATAGGCGTTACTTGTCTGATTAGGATGAATGGAAACGACGGTCCTACTCACGTCTGCACGACAAGGAGAGAGAGAAGTCCCCGGTGGTCCATCCATGATTGTGAAGTCAGCAGTCGGCCCGAGAGATCAACCACGTCCGAGACGATTCCCGTATGAAGATTCATGCGCGAAATCTTCCCTGGGTTGGGGAGAGGAGGCGCGAGACGTCAGTTCGTGAATGAAAAATAGCCGTCGCGGGGCCTCAGGCTCCACTCGACAAACTCAAATCACAGAAGAAGCTCTCAATCAGCGAGCTACTTCTTTTCTCTGAGGCAAACGGCAAAAGGGTTCGAGCTCTCCGCCTTGGAAATGGAGTCGGCCCCGAGAAGGAAATCAAAACGACGTGGAATAATATTCGGATTCCGACGTCTTTGATCTCAACTGTGTAGATCCGATTTTTTCCGCATCAATCGGAGGGAAGAACAAGTCCTCACTAAAAAAAGCTGCCGATTATGTTCTGGAGCATTTGGACGACAGTGAAAGCTCACAACGTCCTCGTTCCAACGTTCATTGATTCCCAGTGCTCTCCGACCAAGAGCTTCTATGACGGATTTCGAACGAAGCGACTCCCATGAGAAATAATAAAAAGCTCCCGCCACCCGAGAAACAGAGGAGAGCTTTGACTCTGTCTCCCGGCTGAAAAATGAGTGAAACATTTGCGAACGCTTCCAGGGCACGCTCCTTGTGTTTGTTCGGTCGGTCGCTTGCTCTCTTGCTTGCTACAGTTGCTCCAGAGAACAAAGAAAAATCCATTCCGAAGCTCCCAAAAGCCCGTTACGTCTCATTCTCCGCTGCCGAAGGCAAATAAATCCTAATTCAAGCTCATGGCATGTAGTGAAAACGGAGGCGTCTTACCTCGATGCTCGCCGATGAGTACATCTTCGCCGATCATTTCCAGAGCCACGGGTCTGGATAAATGATCCGCGAGTTTCTCCAGGCAGAATCGTTCTTTCCCAGAGCTATCATCGTTCTGCTCAGCGAGGGCTCTCAGTCCCAGCACCAGCAACAGGCCACACGAAGCGAGTGCACTCATCGTTAGAACCTGCGAACGCAGTCGCGAATCATTGGATCCAGCTCGTTTCCAACACCAGCACCTATTTCATATTTTCATATGAATATCGTATATGCGGGGTCATCCAGAGGGAATTGGTCGGTCACATGTCACATTCCAGCGACCCTTCCTCGAACGATGATCTCTATCGTGGAACTCTACAACTTCCTCACTGCTAGAATCGCTGGAAAGGGCTCACGGAAAATCTGAATCGTCGTTCATTCTGGCTAACAGGATAGAAAAGCACTTGACCAAGGGGCAATACATCGCTCAGAAACGATTGGGGTACAAAGTTGACGGAACGGCCTCCCGAAACTTCGTATTTTTCACGGAGAAATTTCAGCATGTGACACGGCGGAACTCTTCGCACGAGCTTCCTCGCTGTTCTCGTGCGACGTGGCACACATCTCCAGTCTCCCACGATTTTTGAACGTTTACCTCAGATTTTCTGACACGGGCACATGAACTCGTGAGCAGCCGGCAAAGTACTCAGTGAGAGGTTCTGACTGAATCTGTGCGCCGCGTTCCTAGTGAAGCCCGTACGGCCGGCTTCCCTCTCCCTGAACAGTATTTCATCCGTACGACGGATAACGAACTGGAATATGCCGTGGACATGCGGGACTCGCCAACGATTCCCTCTTCTCTCAAGGGGGCAGAACCTCCCATCGAGCTAACAATCTCCCCAGGTAGCCATATGAGATATCTCGTGTCGGCGAGACTCCGCTGACGTCAATAGTGGGGGAGTCTAGCTTTTTGACACCATCTCGTGCTTGATGAATCCCTCCGATTCATCTGAACGTCGCCGCATGAGAGGTAATCATCGAGGGCTCATTAGACGCTCCTATGGATGAATGTCCGCAGTCTAACCGCCACCCAGAAACCGACAGTCGGAATGATGCTCATCCGAGGAAACTACCGAAATGAACGAGATCGGCAAGACGGCTTGATTCAGTGAGTCGAGATGTCGCGTCGCAGTGAAATTCTTTAAACAAGTGAAATTGGTCCGCACTCGTTTCTGCCCCTGGAGAGCGCTACAAGCTAGACGGATCAGATTACTCGACTGGATGGAAAGATGTCGACGGACGACGACGAATCTCGGATGGCAAGTCGACTCACTGCTCACTTCACCTCGCGGACCGAATGAATCGTTTGGTTTTCTATCTATGCGAGGAGGAATACCATTCGTCCTATAAGGCCGTATGCTCAGCTAACAATGCAAGTTGCAGATGCCGCTTGCGGACTCGATCTGCATCCAGAGTCCAGTCCCAGGCGTCATTAGCTTTGTGTGAGGCTGTTCCGATCGGTTGGCTGCGAAGGCGTGGGACTCTATCTGGAGGAAACGATTCTCTACATCATCAGCTCACGGTATCAGAGAATCGATACCTTATCACAAGTCCATGAGCTCCAAGCTGAACGTGGCTCGGCTGAAATTGCTTGGCCTCGGATTCACTCGTTCAAGGCTCGGGTCAGAACACTGCAATCTTCGGACTTCCCAGGAAGTTTACTTTCCTTTCCGATTCGATACTTTCGTATGGATCGAAATGCCTATTTCTCTCGAGCTATTTGAACTCCCTGGACTAAAGACTATCCTGATCCTTGTCCACGAGGATGGCAGTATTCGCTGCCGCTAATAATCATCGATAGCGAGTCACTCCTACCGTTCCGGCATCATGCATGCGAAGCCCCCGAATAATAAGCCTAAGGTCAGAAGAAATCCTGAGGAACGCATATCACACCGTCCACCTGAGCTCGTTCCCGGAGGCCTTCCGAAGCCGAATCGGCTCGGAACATCTCGGACTTCGAAGCGTTGGGTGACTATCCATTCGACGATCGATCTGTTGCGATTCGGTTTGCGAACGGAATTACACACGCCCCGATCGAATCATCTGTGTGAAACGCTGAGTGCGTCACGTGATCTCGGCATGTTCTCCGTCGAGGTGAAGAGCGACGTTCTGCCGCTTTCACCAAGGAAAACGTGATTTCCCCCCCCATCTGATCCGCTGTTCCGTTCGCATGCACGGCTGATCTGGTAATTTGATTTCTCCGCGATCCGGACGCTCTAGGATCCATGAAAATTTATGAGCTCTCGTAAGATATCTGGCATGTGTATGGAGATCGATGCAGTGATAATCTGTGTGTACCACCGCGCCACCGCGACAGTTTTGTGACTTTATTCAGCAGTCGATCCTACCGACTTTCAGCTGATCTGGCCTCAGGCATTCCGTGTTCTTCGGGAAACGGAGCACGCTTTCCGGCATAATTCTGTCGATGATACGACGAAACCTGTCAACACAATCAGACGTGAAGCTACTGATGGGATAAACTTCGTTTCTGTAATGAATCTGCTGACCGGGGGAGTCGACTCCGGCTCTCGGGGAACGCGTCGACCCTGATGGACCCAAGCTTGACTGGCTCTATACATTGAGCCCGAACTTTTCTTCTCGTGTAACTTCTGAGGGGCGCCACGGGACCAGGACGCGTACCTCCTTCTATGGGGAACGGTTCTAGCTAGACACTCGGGTCCTTACGGCTCTTGACGGTACGATGCGCCGAGTCGAGGAGCGTGAATAGGGAGATTGGTTCACCAGTCTCCTACTTTATTCTAGGGCGAATTCGATTCCGAACTCATTTTCTTGTTGTTGACCGTCGAATGTCATCGGCAATGAGCCCGTGAAGTACGCGACCCTTGTCGTACCCGAGCTCCAATCCGATCGGAATAGACAGGGGCATGAATCGGAAGGGATAGGTGTATGATGAGCGCGATGTGATAATTGATGGCGACCGGGTCGTGAGACAGCCTCCCTCATCGTGACGCTAGGAGTGCTCGTTTCGGGGGATAACTGTCAATCTGAAAGGTCTCTTGAAAGCGGAGCGGCCATTAGATCGTTTACCGAGGAATATGATACTTTCCGCCACGCTTCGTTCCCATGGAGCACCTTCCGAGGGCTTTGCCGATTGTAGATGTGCTCAGTCGAGCCCCGACTCGAAAAGAGCTGAGGAAGAAGAACGGAACACCTGAATAGGACATAAAACTACGATACAATCGAAGTTGCATATCCAGTCTCGGGAGCACCATGTTTTAATACCTATAACTCTCAGATGAAGAAGAAAATTAGAGAGACCCAGGAGAGGTCCTGGAGACAGGACATGATGCTGAAATCAAGCCTCGAAGTTTACCGACAAGGCAAGAACAGCCTCGGTATCCAAACCTTCCTCTACGGGAACCGAAGAGGGGACACTATCCTGGCCTTGGCCGGAGCGGGAATATTACCGACGAAAAGCCGAGGTAGGTCTATTGACCCACAGCAGGAGGACACCTGCCCCAGATGCGGAACATTTGAAGAGACCGTAAAACATGTGATCTTCGAATGCAACGACGCACACTACACGGACGAGGATTTCCTCTCACGATAAGGCCTCCATGAGGAAATACAGGACCCTTCGATCGTGACAAAAACCGAACGAATCCTAGAAAAATGGGAGAAGGAGACCAACGATCTGCTTGATAGCGCCTGACATGAAAGGCTGATGCGTCATCCTGTAACACACATAGAAGACCCATCTAGATAAATAAATTACCATTACCAAGATTTTCATGTCGAGGCCCCCGCTGAGGAGACCGTCTTTCTTGGGCGAGAAAGTCTTCCATTGAGGGACGAGCATTCGTGGTTCGGGCTTTCACTGTGTGTCAAGTAGATACAAATAGCGACACCGCCAGCCGTCGAAATTCTGACCCTACAGGGATAATTCATGGATCCGAACGGGCGAGATCGACAGGGACTCGGACAGCTGTGTGCTCACCTCGCCTGCTTAACATCATTCGTGGATTAGAATTGGAGGAAGCTCCCAGTGGCACTGGACACCACGCTGCGGGACCCCGACCGTGATCCTACATGGATCTCTCTGAATCAGCTGCTGGAAAGGAGAATGCGACCTGCTACTTCGATATACGGGCAATTTCAGAACGTTTTCCGAAGCGGAAACATTCGTTCTCTGAGATTCAGGGCCGGACCGGGCCTGCGTCACGCATTTCATCCTCGTATTTCGCCTCCGATGTGCATAATATGACCACTCATGCAGAGTACGAAGTTCGCGAGTTTTTCCATCTTCGCCCGCAAGCAGGGAACTCTCGGGGCAACTAAGGAGCCGATAAAATGAAGCCTGGGAGTAAGTCTTATCATGAACATAATTTTTTTGCGAAAATCACGACAGCGGGGCTACCACCTTAGGTCGAGGAGTCTCCTCGAGACCGACTCGGGAAATTTCTATCTCACCGCACCCTGGGAATGGAATCGCGCAGTACTGCTTTTCTCATTGGAGTCGAAATGCATGCCCTGGCCGGGCACTTCACTGAGTCCGTTTCTTACAGAATCCTTCAGAGATCCGGACACTGCACGAGTATCTCCGAGGAGCTTCCGTCGATTACCTGGCAGCGCTCAAGACGTGCCACTGTCCCGATGCATGCGACTTATTAGAGACTAGCCATGATTTCGGCTAGATTGCCCGTGTGCCGGGTTCGATGCTCTCGAAGCCCCGAGCGAGTTCCTTGAGACTTGTGGACAGAAAGCACAGATCACAGACCACTGCTTGGATTTCTCGTCCTTGTCGCTTAATCTCTCGAAGAATGTGCGCAGTCGGCGCGTGAGTCTCAACGTTCTTTTTGTCGAAGTCGTTCGCAACGGAACTCCGATTTGGGCTGAAGAAGATACATGGACGCAGAGTCGGACTCTGCCATCGCCGCTATGGAGCAGGAAAAATGAGAACAGGTGAAATATATGGGCATCATCTATCTACACTACAGAATTATGGAAGAGATAATCTCCTTGTGGAATAATCTTGGGAAGCACTACGTTCGATTTCGTAGCTCTCGATTCTTATGGAAACGCGGAGGCAGCTGTCCTCATAACTTGACAGAGTCGGGCGCTCGGGATAACATGATGGGATGCGAAAGAACGTGATAGAATACGGAGGGACATGATAGAATGCGAAGGAATATGAGAGAAAGGGGAGGAACGTCGAACTTATGCGATGCTGACACGCAAGCTCTGGAAGACGATGAGCTCCTGAGGCTGGCAGGGATAAAATCTATTGGAACCCTCGATCCTGTAATCACCCCGATCATGGTCCCGAGGCGATTCGAGCCTGCGTAGGGATTTAGGGTGGCTCGCACGGTAGGCTGCTGCGCCGTCATTCGAATCGTACGATTGTCGCCGGAGCAGTCGTGATATCATTCGAAGATATTCTGGAGAGCTCTGCGTTCGATCTCGGAGCTATCGGCTCATCGGGTAATGCAAAGCGAGTGGTCCTCATAGTTTCGCAGACTTGGGCGGTCGGGATACCATGAATGACAACATGACTCTCATGCGATGCTGACTCGCGAGCTCCAGGAGTAGATGAGCTCCTGAGGCTGGAGAGAATGCAACTCATTGGTACGCTCTCGGTCCTCTGATCACCCCGATCATGTTCACCCTAGCAGGCTGCTGCGTCGTCTTTCGAATCGCGCCTCGGCGGAAAGGCCGGAGCATCATGTGGAGAGAGCTAGTGGAGAGGATATACATCCAGCGAACACCAGAGAAAAACTTGCTAATTTTCCGGAATAACTTGAGAACGATGCAATTGATCGAGTGGAAAATTGCTTTTTACGCTGGCGGGGATAATTCTGCATCGTCACGAAGTGATTTCACACGCTTATAAGTCCGATTTTTGGTACGCTTACGGACCGACACGACTGCTTTATTTTATAAAGGGATTTTCGCGGAGTCGGGCGTAAGGTTCCCATATTGAGATGATGACTCCTCAACCAGAGAATATGTTTTCCAACTTCCGATTAGTACAAAACCGACTTCGATAATACACCGCGAGAGGATCACAAGCTGCTGACAAATATCTATATTTTGGGAGATTGTTTATGTGGGAAACATAAGTTATTCTATAATTCCTTTTGTCCTTCCTCGGCGAGGCTGTCACTCGTGTGTCACCTATAATCCTCTTCTTAGAACAAGGGAACTCGGGAGAGCAGGATCGACCGGTACATATCTATATTATCATCGGGAGGAAGCATCAACTGTTCAAATGATATACCACGTGAATGTATGCCGCCACCAAGGGCAATCCAAGATACATGGGCATGATCGATAAGCCGAATTTCGTCACAGCTAGCAGGACGGCTGCGATTGTGACGAGGGTGCTTCGCATGAAATTAAATGAACTCTGTGGTGGAAGTTCGACTGTCGGCGATGGGAAACGACCAGTTTTGAAGAACTCGTCCATCAGCTGGTCTTTTTCGGCGAAGCGTTCGATGAGAAAATCTCGCACCTCTTCCTCGCCTTGGGGAACGTCCTTGATGCTCACTCGCCGAAGGTGGAAATGAACATCCGGGCATGCTCCGTTCAAGAAATCTGCAAAATGTGACCTAGCTGTGAGCTCCTTCGAACGGATCAACTTGAGAGCTGGGTTCTACAGAGGACCCTTCGAGGAGCATCCTCCGAGGGGGGAGCTCGTCAACGCGGCCTCTTAAGAAATTATCTTCATGGAGAATTCTCTCGCGACCAACGATGCAAGAGAATGCTCGAGAGATTTCCCTGTGATAGCCGTGAGTACCTTACTCACCGATCATGCCGGGTGCCATCAGGCGGCGGCCTTCCGGTGAGCGAGTCGAGGAATACCCGACGGTGACATCGTAAACGGCATCCAATCTGTTGCGGAATTTAGATAAGAGCCGGTAGAAGCCTTTGTGTTTGGGAAACAGAACGTGTTGGAACGGTTCACGGTTGCAGGATCTCGCGAGAGCGTCGGATTTTTGGAATATTCCGTCGACTTCTTCGCCGTTGTTCCATGTAGTTCCCTCGGGGTAGATGAGCAGGGAAGTCTGAAATCACGGACATACGCTCAGAATCATATCAAATGCTATTGGGAGCGGAATTGATGCTCAGAGTAAGTCGATATACGGTGAGTGAAACTTCAGTTTCATGGAATGTCCTCCGTGACTCACTGGCGATTCGCTGGTGGCGAGGCGAGTGCCATTTCTTTCGAATCGGTCCCAGTTCAATTTCGAGCGATCAATGAAGAACGAGCCGTGATTCACGAGAAACGCTCCCACGAATGGAAGCCATATGAGCGATTCTTTCATGACGTGTCTCAACCGTTTCAGAGATCCCGATTCCTCCATCGCAGCGGCGATCGTGAAGTAGTCAGCTGATCACGGGGAATCGGTGGGCAGAGTTTCACTCACGCGCCCAGCGAGGAAATAGATTCAAGGAAGCGTAGATCGAAAACAAGCTTGATAATTTCTTCATCATTTGAAACTCACATTCTACTTGGTGATTGCCGATCACGAGAACGCTCTCGCCTCTATTCACAATCTGACCGTAATCCCCGTAGTGGTGTCGCTGGGGTTCAATTTTTCATGACCAGAGGTCCGAGAACTCGCCTTGTCATTCACTCTCGCGAGGACATGATATGTAGGTACATATGGCTTAATGACAAGCGGATAAGACGTGGCGATCACTTACTTTGATACCTCTTAGAGTCATCGAGCAGAAGACGACAAATCTCTCATGCGTCTCGTATAGAACATCGTTGATGTCCCTGTATCCTTTGCCCACGAGGTAGGAGAAGAACGCCAGCACGTAGAAGATACTGGTCATCCCAGCGATCACAATCAGGTCCAAGTAGTACATGAAGATCGCCAGCAGGATTTTGAAAACCCTGGGAATGAGGTCGCAAGAGCACGAATGTAGCGATCAAACTGAGCGTTCGTAAAAGCGTCGGGCTCCGGTATCATGAATGAGAGGCCTGAGGAGTTCACGGAGAGGTCCGTGGGCCAAGTATTGGGTTGATCCGGGGAAGGTTCTCAGGAGGGCCTATTCGCGATGGTGTCAGCTAGGGCTAAGGGACTCAGCAGCGAGACTCAATCCGGCCGAGTTGAACGATAATCGTCAAGCATAGCGTCTATGGGCTGCGGACCTGTTCCATTCCGTGCCATGGAGCGAGACCGCGTTTTGAATCCGTTTTCCGCTAGAATCGGTCCCCACCTTCCCCAGGCTCTACTGATCCAACCTAAGATCGACACAAATTCGGTCTGTTACCTCCGGACAGGCGCTGACCGTGAACTGACGGATGCAGCGATCAGTTTGACTCCGAGGAATGGAGCGCTGGCTGGTGAGACACGTAAATCGCGCCCCATATCAGTCCATGTTCCTAGTGTTGATGAACTAGTATCTCAATAAGCAATGTGTACCGTATACATCTAATATCTTGGGGAAGATCGGACACCACCAAAGCCTCCGACATGCGGAATGATTCCGACGCCCCCGCCTAGTACGGCCTATTCGTTAGTCAATGACGGCCGAGGCAATTCTGCGCTGTACCCGCTACAGGGATTCTTCCGCAAGTGGGCATTTACTGGAACTCCTGTCGCGAACTACGACGAGATTGGGCGAGACTACGCTTCCGACGAGCACTCCATTCACGAAGCGCTCACACAATTCGTCATCATGTCTTAATGCGATGGATTCCACGTCGAGATTCCGCGAACGTATCATGACCGCTCGAGATCGACGGAATTTCGCGCTTCGGAAACGGACGGCCATGCTCAGCGGTGCTTCGTCGGACTGGGACCAGGGACGCGCCCATTGGGTATTAGCTCCGCGAGTCTTGAATTGGTCAAAACTCTCGACAGACGAGGGAAAGGCGGTCGTGCTTTCCGAACCCGTTCCGCTTGACTTGAGAGTTGTGAACCGATTGATCCCATATGAGCCGTTCAGGTGTTCATGCCCCGGCATTAATGCCGTCGGAAAGCATGGTTGAGCCGAAACTGAGCGTTCCACTGTCTTGCATGGCAGCGTAATTTACTCGCTCGTTGAAGTATTCCAAGGAATTTCATGAGGGCTAACGAAGCCGATTCCTTGGATAATATCCTCTCCTTTTTTCCCTTCTCTCCCGATATTTCCCTCGAGTTGGGGGTGCCCCCAGTCAGTAGACGGCCGTACTCATAGCACCGAAAAACTCAGTTTTCGCTTGGCAGCAGGATGCTGCGCGGACCATCCGCAATCGTCTGCATACCGGTCTCTTCGAATTCGGTTTGAGACTGATCGGCGGGTCAGGAGGTAAGAATGGAAATTCACGACTTTTTAACAATTGCTGGTCGAGCCACACACGTGCCAAGGCCAGTGGTCCAACGTTTGAGACACGGGGAGCATCACGCCGTGTCTAGCGAGAATGTAGCGTCGAGACATCGAATCCCTCTTCAAAACTGTCTGACAGGAGAATAATACTCAGATTTATACAGGAGATTATCATTCAGACATCTCCCGCATCAACACCAGTGCTAAACTTGGACTTGACAAGTCCAGAGGTGATGCCGGGGCGGATTCTGGCCGAGATAGGCTCAAAGTTCTCCCTGCAGACGCATCCAGCGGGAGATCGGCTCCGCTCGAGGAGTGCACACTAGCCATCTAAGCGAGCCGAATGCGCCCGGAAATCGATATGGTGATGCCAGCGAGGAGACACGCATCACGGATTGAACTTCAAGAACAATTCTACGATCGAGATATCGGAGACAAGAGTCGGAGCTGCTTCGAGAGGCAGCTTTCCCTTGATTCGCCGACCGCGTCATCATCTCCAGCATTATTAGAAAAGAGAAACAATCATTGAACCGAGGTCGTCGTACTGCCTATGACGAAAGCACGTCTCATCAGACCGAACTCGGATGTGACTCGCCGCGCAATACAACGATTGATCGTCATGACTCATGAGATCCCCACAATCGGTCATACCTTGTTCGTTCCATATACCATATACAATACCGACGCAGGTTCTGATCTCATCGTCGATTTGCAATACGAGTATACGGGCTGATGTGGACGGCGACTTACCTCCGGACGCCGTCAGCGGCTCCTTCCGATCCATTATTCACAGTCGGACTGTTCATCTGACACAGCAGGGTCAGCCAAAGAACTTAACAGCGTTGTTTCGCGGGTTTGCACAAAGCTCAACTGCTTCCAGACTCCAGACTAACCACCACAATGACTCTGCCACCACCGCTGCTGCTGCTGCGGCCGCCGCTGCAAAGTCACTACTTGCACCGCTCCCACTGGGAGCAACGGATGATCTCCGTGGATCGGTTGGAGCTGGGAATGTTAAAGGCCCTGCCACAGTTGTCGGAACAGGACACGGTCCTCCCGACAGCGAACAGACGGGCAGGCTGCGGACAAGAAACGAGGAGAGAAGGCGCTCGGGGAGAAGAACGTCGAAGACGACGACAACGAGCGAACCCTACTCTACCGCCATCGCAACCTCTTTGCGCTGACGGCGCTTGATGTCGATGGTTTGGTGGATCCGCAATACCGACAACATCATCGTCAGATCGACGAAAACTGGAGAGATATTTTGAAAATTCGAAGATTTCTCCCCTAAGGCTCGTTTCGGGTGAATCGGAGCAAGAGCTCGGAGAATTGTCATTGGTTAGGGCGTCTCTCTGGAAGAGCCGCCAATGAATGGTGAATCACACCGAGGAGTCCTGAATAGAAGAGCGACTGCTGACTCTGTTTTGACACAGCTGAGTTTTGTGTCAAAGTATGATTGTTCCAATAATCGTCGTCACAGATGATTTGACGATTCTACTTAGTCGCGGGCGACGACAATCGGGACGCATCGAGTTCGAGGTCATCCGACAGGTTTTATTTTGACAGAGGCCGTGGCTCCGACTGCAACTGCGGATAACGCGTGCATCCGAATCATGTCGCAGTGAACGTATGGCAAATGGAGCAATCGACGGAGCGACCCGTCCGATTCGCTCGTTCTACTAACTCGCGCAGCGCGAGAAGAGGGATGTTTCGCTCTGAGCAGAGGAACCAACAAGAACCATAGCCGAGTCCGATTGTCCCAAAAAATCTATTCGAAACTCTTCCGAATCATGTATGACAAACCTTCGCGTCTAGTGCAAATATTCTCATACGAGAAAAAGGCGCTTCAGGATCGGTCCGAAGTTTGGAGGACTCGGGGAATCTTCATGCATCGAGAATCGAGATCTCGGTACTCACGCCTTCATCGCCCCCGGCTCAAACTGATATGAAGCTATGATACCGTCTAGCATTGGGGGATCTACGGTATTTTCGAATTTAGGTACATATATCAGCTCACCTGAGACTTCAGGGCAGTGATTGGCAACATGCTTACGTGCTCCCACATCGTTCCTGATACAAATTATCGGGAGCCGCTCCCATTTGGTTACAGTTCTCAGCATATCGACCCTACGAGGGATATCCGTCGTGAGGAGCGGGATCCTTCTACGCCTCCAATCGTCGAGATTCCTTCCCTCGCATTGATTACCTCAGTAGCTCTTCGCCACAGCTCAGAAAAATCGGAGGGCTGGTTGCGATATATGTACTAAGCGGCAATATTAGGAGTGTCCTGTACGAGCCGATGATTACCCGAAAGATGGATGAATTCCCGAGTTGAGACCGATCCGGGAGTGCCTAGCAGCGAGACTATCGGGCGGGGGCCTCCGACAATATTTCGAGGCGTGTGTGCAATTCTGCCAAAGCAGGCATGACCTGCGCAAGACGCAGATCACGACAGCACGGTGATCTTCCGATCAGGTTTGATCCGCGGAGATTGCCACTCATTGAGCGTGTTCCCGGGTGGCGAGGTTCCGTGGTAAAGACTCCGCTTCATTGAGCCCCTATGGAGGCACAGAGCAAGGCAAGTTCGATAAGCGCTCCTCACTTGCTCGTCTGTCATATTTATTTTCAACGCGAACTATGTCGGCTTGCGATGAGAAAGATCTATTTCATCGGAGCTCATCGGGATAGAGAGTGAGTTGAAACTCCGTAGAGCGACTCCGCTTCGACTCTTTCTAATTGTTTGATTGCAACCCTCAAGTTCGAGACCGTTCATGAGCGATCATGTCACATGAGGAACCAATTCCAGCCCTTTCCAGCCTTGCGTTGAACGAGCTCATAAGGACAGGCCGAACATCGACCGTCCCGAAAAAATGCTTGAGGTGTTCCTTGTCACTCGGATGCGATTTTCGGGTAGGCGACTCTCAGTGAGGAGAGATCATTCGAGCTGGACAAGATCTCCCTCGGTATGATTGGCATGCTGCGAAGATCCTGCGGGGCAAATTTATCGCAATCATCGTTGGGTCCGTCGTAAATTTCGATAAGATTGGCTGGCAATGTCATGAAGATTCAAGAGCCAGAGCCGCTATGGCTACAGCGCCTTGAAGAGCGAAATGAATGAAGCGGGGAAATCCGATTGAAGGTGGAGGGCAAGACAAGCTTGTGAGATTAGGCGGATCTCGTTGGCGAATTTGTTCAGGTAAGATATCAGCGCCGCTATCTATCATCCTCCTCGTCGTCACATCGTCATTCGACTTCTTCGCCTTCATTATCTCTGTTTTCCTGAGGGCTCTGCTTGAACTTCAGTGATGACGGTGCCGCGGCTCCATTCCGCCGTTGGACACGCTATTGAGAAGTCGTCCGATGTTCGGTTCCCAGAACTTCTACTTCACGGTTACCCACGGTTTAGGTGATATCGGAACGGGAGGACAGAGACTCTGTCTTCGCTTTACCTCTTTTCGATCCATTCTACCTCTTCCCTTCCATTGAATTTGAATGACGAGTGATTTCTTTACACCACCTTCGGCATTTTTTTCACGTGGGAAATCTTATCGCGCGGAATGAATTGACCGCTCAGTCACCGTAACTGAGCTCTCATAGCATTTATCTGTCCACTTGTGGGAGATTCTCTAGATCTTCACTCAGATCTACTTTTGTGTGAAGGCTGACCGAGGAATAATGGACATATGAGAGACGATTTCTCACTGTGGAAGGTACCGAAATCCGAAAGAAGTTGGCTTTCAGGACCTGGATAAGATACCCGTTCCTCGATAGCAATGCATCAAGTAATCTATGACAATATCCAAAGAGAATTTATCCCGGCATCAGACGAGACGACACACGACCTTTCCGTAGACCAAATCCACGGCCGGAGTAACGGTGCGATGCCGGAATAATGAGCAACCTGACGCCTCGGCATGAATCATCCTCCGGTCTTCAGAGATGGCTCTTCAGAGGCGACAGACGGGTTCCATGACCGAAACAGCGTTATAAGCCCAACTTCAAAAAACACGATGACAGCCGCCTGATTCACCTTGCTCTTGGCTTTGTCACACCTGTGAGGACAGGAGGCGAATCCGAACAAAGATTTCCGCGGCGCCACGTCGAAATGAGACGGATGTCTCTTTTTCGGAAACTGTTCTTCCGAAAAGACATAGAGGGTCATTACTTCTTCTCTCGCTGTCTTCCCCGGCCTCACATCCGACTGAAACATCATCACATAGCGCAATCTAGTGCGTCAACACCGATCGGACCACCCGTTCGATGTCCTCAAGATATCTGAGGCATTCGATCCTGCAGCGTTTTCCTATTCGGTAGCGTCCCGAGTCCCGGGCTAGAATCAAATCGGATAATTCGGATTTTTCCTCGAACTTTGTAGTTCGTAGGACTCTTGTCGGCGCCGAAAACATGCATGTCGTGAGAAATCCGGGCTCCGATTGTGAACCATACCGTCCCCGGGCAACGCTGCTCTACGCACGGTGCGCTCGATCCGAGCCGGGTCGATCGGCGCAGACGAGCAGTAGTATGCTACTCTGTGTGTAATTCCCATCAGCTTCCTAATGAAGAACATTTTGTATCACAGTGGGAAGTCTCCGATCATGGAATTTTGACTGGTCGCTCGCTCCCCCCTATCGAAAGCGAGCGCGCTGCGGCTCCGAAGGACCGTCGGCCCAGGAAGTTCGAAGTTGGGAAACACGGATTGAAAGTTGTCCGTTAGTCCGACCGTCCGTCAGTCAGTCAGTCAAATCGAGTATTCTCGTCAAAACCATTTTTCATTCGAGACCACTAAACCTGACATCATGCTACCGTTGGCGCAGCAAACGAACAGAGAGACCACCCAATAAACCGACGTACATACGGCAAACATTCCCTCGGGTACTGAGGTCTTTTGCTGGCAACTGCGGAAGCGTCTTCGGTTCGAAGCACTACTATTGTCTTAAGCATCGTATCTATTTCGCGGCTCCTTTTGCTGCTTCGTAAGTGGGGTCTTTCTGACTCGCGTTTGTTATGGCGGATCAAGTCGACGATATCTTCGTCAGTTTGAAGTTCGTCTAATAAGCGGGTAGTTCGGTAGCGGAATGCCTTGGGCCGAAAGCTCTCTAAATGTCAATGGGTGTCTAGGGCCAAGGTTTGATAAGAGAACCGCAGTTCAGACCTCCCGTCGCGCTGCAGCTGGACATCAGACGTGACGTAAAGCCCGTGCATGCTTTCGCGTGTGTATTGAGACGTCGCCGTCGTGTCCCGGATTCTATTGCGGCAATGGGTAGCGAATATTTCGCAGCGATATTGCGCCTGTCCGACTCCACGACTCATCGAGAAGGTCTTCAGCATCTCATCCGAAGATATCGAAGTTCTCGAGGGAATCCGCAATAGAAAGTGAAAACCGGGGCCTTGCTCGGAACTACTGGAGAAAAGTCTGAGACCTCGGAGTGGATTTTCTTACGTTCTGGCCGCTCGGACTGGTCGGGAGTTTCCCCGTCGACGACTGAAGCTCCATTGTGAGCTTAACGGTTTCGTTGTGAAAGTCTTTAGTTTCAAGTCTCTCTTTCGAAATGAGTCGAGAATTTTGAGCTGACGCGGGAGACCTCCGGCTGCTTGATTTGATGCAAATTTGAGAAGTGTCTCAATTGAGTGAAGTCTTCATCTGAGTGACTGACTCGCTACCCGACTCAGTCAGTCACTGAGTGGCCGAGCGGCTAGAGCGTCATTCGTTCATATCATACGGGTCGCATGGAGCGGTGGCGGAACTCACAGAAGCGCACAAACTTGTAGAAGGGCTCAAACTTCCCGGAAAGCCTAGGGGTGGTCCCGCGCTTGGACAGTTTAATGTCTCGACTTCATTTCGAATGTTTGAAACTCATCGTGCACGTACTCTCGTCTCCGGAACAGGCTCAGGCGGCGAAACGACGGCGTTTCTGTACGAATCGGGGAGCTCGAAAAAAAGCATTCCTACACTCAAGCTCGAATCTCGGACCCATTAGATACATGTTAGC